TAGAAGCTGGTTTTATGAACTTCTAACAATTTACATCCAGATTTTATCCTGCTGATCAGTAAAAACAAGCCAAAGGTTGTGCGCTTATGTCTTTTAATGTGTATCTGCAGAACTGGGTTAAAATATTTGGTAGAAGGATGCCACAAGTCAAATGTTCAATGAGATGTTTTTTTTTTTTGCTTTGTTTGTTTTTAAGGTGTAGAAATATGTTATTGATGATTAAATGAATCCAATGAACTCTGTTTTGTCTTCTCAGCCAGTGCCATCATATCTGTGATATTTCTGAAAGAGACCATTCGTGCTTCTGATGTTGTAGGTAAGCAAACATTTAGTCACTGCGGGCGAACACGTGTCCTCTGAGACTTCTGAATTTAGAACAATTAATTACTGTTCAAAAAGATGCACATGGTCAAATCAGGATTTACTTTTCAGAAAAGCCTAATTCTTGCTTGTTTGTTTGTTTGTGTTGTTGTTGTCAGGTAGATACCTGTGAGGTTAGCTTTAGGGTAAATGGTTAGGGTTAGGATATAAAATTTCAAAAAAATGAATGGAAGTCAATGGAATGTCCCCACAAGGATAGAAAGACAGTGTGTGTGTGTGTGTGTGTGTGTGTGTGTGTGCAAGTGACTACTCAGCTGCAGCACAGACGGTCTCAGGAGCATTAACCCTTTAGGGCCCAGATTTAAAATGTGGTAAATTAATTATTTTCAGTATTTGAAAGGAATTTTTTTGGATAGTTGCATTTTTTAACTGTTGTCTTTTATATCTACAGGAGTTAAGAGTTTTTCTGAAGAGTTACAAAGACAATTTGTAGAAACAGGACATGATTTAAGGATTTTTACTAATAATATTTTCTTTTAAACATGTTACAGAAGAAATAAGAAGCAGGTTTATTTTGAATAAACATTATAAATGTGTTCATTCCTACAAAATTGTCAAATACATTTACTAAATACACTAAACTGATTCAGATTAGAATAAAATAATGTTTTATAATTAAATGTCCGTCCCCCCCCCCACAAACAAAAATCTAATCTTCATTATTACAGATTTTCTTCTGATGCTGATGAAGCAGCACAAGATACAGAGGAAAATGGATGGATGAATATGTTAGGATGCTATAAGTCTATCTTTTGAGGTTGGTTTTGTTTCCCAGTATTTGCTTTGATATTTAAGAYAAGCTGTTTGTTGTAGTTGATAACAGTGTTTTAATCCTGCAAATAAYGCATCAGTGTTCAAATTATGTTTCTGCTTGCATCCGTTGTGCGATTAGATAAAAAGCCTCTCTAGACCAAGCTCTTGGGCTGAATTTTAAACCCAGCCCACTCCTGGTGTCTATCCAGTGTGGACTCTCAAGTGAGAGTTTAACTTACACTTCTGGCTAAATCTATGTCCACAGTCCTCACATACAAATGGTCCCTGTCCTGTGTGGACTCTCATGTGAACGTTTAAACTACT